GAGAGAGAGAGAGAGAGAGAGAGAGAGAGAGAGATCCAACATCTCTCAAGTGCTCCTCGATCGTCCTCCTGACTCGGGTGTGGTGCCCACATTAATTGTCAGCATCACATTTTCTAACCGAAAGCGAAGTGTTGTCCGTGATTAAGTTCAAGAATAAAAGGAGGTCCCTGAAAAGTGAGATTCTCAAAAGAAGAATGGAAGCAATTAGGAATAGACATAAAATCGAAACGCCATCCCTCTCGAAAAAAAATCCTGCTACCAACGGAAAGGTTCGGTTCCGGCCCGGAATGTTACTTCGTTCGTGGCCTGACAACGGCGTTCTTCTCGACGCCATCCCCACCCCCTTACCCCGTTACATCCCCAGGAGACCAGAGCTCGACGTCAAAGAGAGACATTTGTCCTCTTCATCAGCCTGGCGTTTTGTCCCGCTGACAGCAACATACGGGGGCCTAATCATTGTCTTTTAGGTCGGCATCCTTCGCTCCGGCCTTGTCTTTTCCGGGCCTCATCGGGTTCTGGTGTGACCCTCCAGCCCGTCCAGGGGTTCTAGTGCATCTGCCTCGACGTCAATACAGATGAGGGGTTCCATAGCCTGTCCCCCGCATGACAGGTCGCCGAGATGTGTTGTGCGACGTGGTCTGTCCACAATGCTTTTTAACAAAACAAAAAAAAGAAGAAAAAAAAAGATCCTTACAGTGTTAGCAATGTTTAAACCATAGTCATTTATTTATTTTGTCTCCATACCACACCAAGAAGAAGGAGAGAGAGAGAGAGAGAGAGAGAGAGAGAGAGAGAGAGAGAGAGAGAGAGAGAGAGAGAGAGAGAGAGAGAGAGAGAGAGAGCTGGGGCCCAGAGGCTCAGTACTTTTTATGTGATCTTTGGTTTTTGGAGAAAAAAAAATTACTATCCTACATTCTTTCTTCACGTAAGCCACGCCTTGGCAGTAACTTAATTGTGCTGTGTAGGGCCTTATGATCACACATAATACTCAACGCAAATGTTTATGTGACCTGCCGTAGACACAGCTCAGCAGCGGCAGAAGCAGCATTAACGACAACGACAAGTATGAACCAATTAGTGGCCCTAAAAACGAACCGGTATTATTTCTTTATGCACAACCAGTCCCAAATGCACCCAGTGCGTAGCAAAATTCTGCAGCAGCAAAAAGAAATCAACCCGTTTCGATTCAAGTAACGGCCGTCAAGAGGCGCGCTGTATAGTTAGTATAGGACGGTCTTTGAGATGTGGCCAAGTCGGAGCTCGTCAGGGCTCACGGCGGCTCGACACAAACCGGCCGTTCTGGAGAGCTGTGAGTGTCCCCACGGGCGGGCCGCGAGCCTTTGCCCCGGGACATTGCCGCCAGCCGACAATGGAGCAAGACACTTCTAATCAACTTCCAATCAGCCGGCAACAAACAAAAGCCCTTTTCTCTAACTAAACGGATGTCTCTCTGGGGGAATCTCGGGGGCCATTTCAATTTTTGCCCCTCGATTTCCCCAGCTCTCGTTCTTGTGTGTGTGTGTGTGTGTGTGTGTGTGTGTGTGTGTGTGTGTGTGTGTGTGTGTGTGTG